ACCTCCAACACATCCCTGCATTTTCACACCCCAATACCCCATATAGCCAAGTTCTCTAGTCTGAGAAGCACAACCTAATGGAACTAGAAGAGGAAAGGGAAATATTAGCAGAATTTACATATTTGTGAGAGATCTCCCTGGGCCTGATGTGGAATGAACTCCTCCTTAAACAGGGGAAGTTCAAAAGGAGGTTAAGAAGAAAAATGGACTAAGCCATTCCCTTTCTGCCATCATCAGAACACTGCTACAAGAACACAGGAGAAATGTTTATTTCTGATTCTTAAGTAATAGAACTTTTTAAACTATGACTTAAAAATTAGACTTGACTAACAATCGCAAAACTAGATAAGAGCTAAAATTTAGTATTTTTTTTCAAGGTAAATATGGAATAAAAATGATATTAAAATATTTTGAACAAATACACTGCTGTACATATAAAGTAACACAACAGCAGTATGTTGGAGCTTGGAAGCATCTACAAATAATATATTTCATGATTCAGAGAGGCAAGATTAAAATTGAATTGCAGCAAAATTTCTTTTTGGATGTCCTATCCTGCTAAGTTACCTATACACTAAACCCTAACTTATTTAAAACAAAACAAAACTCAGACTGGTCTTAGATCAGTTAAAGGGAGGTTAAAAAAATAAATCCTAGATACTCCTGCCTAGACAGGGCTTTTACTTTTTTGTTATTTTGTCCTGCCTAGACCAGCCTTTTAAAAAAAACAGGTAGCAAAGAAGGTGTATGTGTGCAAATGCTGCCTGGCAGTGTGGGCACATCACAGAGCAGAGTGCCAGGGGGGTCTGGTGGGGACAGGGGCAGCTGCTAAAGGGATCTGGTTCCCAGGAATGCAAATATATAAAGCAACATCTGGAAAAAGAAGTCTGAACATAAGTGTTCTGAATTACCTGGGGTTGAATGACGCCAAACTGTGGAATGCAATTTGTGAAGGAAAAAGAATCAAAACCTTAACATTACTATTTTCATTAAAGAAATAAAATACATACTGCTTATAAACAGCCTTATGCAGTGTCTGACAGTATCAATGAAAATAATGAAACCTTCCTACTCAAGGTGAGTTTCAGTGTAAAATGAGTAAGGCGATTTTGCCTGAGAATAAAAATGACCCTGTTCAGTGTTAATTTTAAAAGCTCACCAGCCAGAATTGGGTGCCCTAAAATCAGAACATTTTTAGTGTGGTACTGAATACCAGATGTTAATAAGGAACCTACAATACTTAAATAGAGACATCTGGTGCATTTATGCACCAGGAAAAATGTAACCCCAATTTCACCTGCTTTTCATCATCAGGGATTTCCCTTCAAGCGGATTCTGACACCTCAACCCCACCTCTGCACCCACTCCTCCAAACATTTATTTTGCAAGTGCCAGTCCCACTTCTAGTTTTTAACTGTGAAAAATGCTCCAGGAACCACATCTGTGGCATTCCAGATCCCCTGGAATCTTAGGTTCTTGATTTTAATGGTCCCCTACCATTAAAGTGAATCTCAAAAGTTAATCAGAACAGAGTAAGTAGCAGGCTTCCTTGCACTATGTTCCTCCCCCAAACTCTGTCATGACATGCTGAGGGGATGTGTGTTGCCTACATGAATGATGTGAGAGCAGGTAAGAGTGAATAAAACTATACAAAAGACGAGAACTATAAAGTGACGTTTCCCCAAACTGTATCTAAGATGCCATCTTTTTCATAAGCTTTTAAGCCATACCGCCACCTGCCTGTGGGAAGATCCATCTACAAACACCAAATCTAAGAGAGAGAGGTTAATTCATCCTCCTTCACCTTTACACCAAATGGCAGACTGCTAGCTGTCCCTTAACCTTTAACTCTTCAAGTGGGGCATATGGCTGGGCTAGATTTCCCAGCCACCCTTGCAGCGAGGTGTGGTCCTATGACTAAGTTCCAGCCAAAGGAACTGAAATGTAAAACTTTGGGGTTGGTCCTCAAGGGCAACTGGCTGCCCCCCTTCCTCACTTCACACCACTATGTCATAGGCAATCTTGAATCAGGAGTGTGAAAATAACATCCTGCATTCCATCACCGCACCTAAAACCACAAGATCAACAGTGTCTGGGTCTACAGAAGGCTGAGAGGAGCTGCCCAGGCCCCACTTGTAGGCACACACAAGAGCAAAATAGAAAATTTTCTATCTTGTTTAAGGCAATGTTATTTTGGGTTTCTGTAATACATACCTGAACCTATACCCCAACCAATACACTCCCAGGCTTATTTGCCTTCTGAGGTCAAGATCAGTGATTCCTAAACATGACCATGCCCAAGAATAAACATGGGATATTTGTATGGGGTGGGGGAGGGGTACTGGAACCTATACTTCTAAGCTCTCTGCCCCCATCTCCAGGTAATTCTGATGAAGTCAGAAGATCTGGGAGCTTGCTAATGAAGCACAAAGGAGATAACCTGTGACTGAGGTTCCTTGGACATGGTTTCAATCTTTTTGATCTTCCAGGAGTTATAAAATCCTAAGAAGTCTATCCAAGAGCTATCTTTTGAATTTGCTTGTTTCTTGCTTCTCTCTAGCCCCACTAGGGTAAACATCCTTATCATTACCCTGAGTTTCTCCGAGGTCCTGCAGTTCTTCACTATTTCCATTGCAGCACCTGTATTGAATTCCTCCCTAGAGTGAGGTTGAGCAGCTTTTCCGGTGGGTTAAAGACTCGCAAGGAGAGACTACAGCATCCAACTGCCAAAAGATCAGATTAATTTCTTCATACAGAGCAGACACAGACCTCAGCAGCATGTCCAGTGGTCTTCAAAGTCTCTAGGAGGGGAGTGGTAGGCTGTAGACGCCAGTGACACCATCTGAGAAGATGGAATATTGTCCCAGATCTGCAAAACTCAGTATTTTGCCTCAGTACTGCCCTCTGAAGTCAGGGTGAATTTAACACAACTTAAACACACTCCCACTTAAGGTACTTTTTATAAATATCATTTTCTCCTATGTGACCAACATCAATTAGGTCACACACTCAACTGAGTAAAGCAAAGTCTGTGCCATGTGTTCTAGTCATTATTTTGCCTAGTTTTCTAACTTTCCAGAGATCTAATTTCCATGTAGGAGGGAATGTATCCCAATCATCTGTGTGTCCCCAGTTAGAGCTTGGCACTTAAATGTGTGCTAAATAAATTATTATTTATTTTTAATTTTTATTATTTTTGATATTTATTACATTTATGTTATGTATATTTATTTTATATTTATTATTTTCAGTATTTATTATTATTTATTTATATATAACAAAGCAGCTCGGTATCCTTCTTGCCCTCAGTATCCTCCTCCACTTCTAGAGTTTCTTTCCTCAGTCCCACTGTGTTCTTTATTCTCTTGATTGCTTATCTCCATGGCCTTCCTGATGTTGAATGTCAGGAGAAACCAGGGCCCTCACTCTAATACACAAGGGCTTTTACACATGACAACCTTCTTCTCAAGCCTTCTGTCACATTCCCTATCCCCCTGGTCCAATAGGGCACTAGCTTCTGGTCACATCTCCCTGACTTGCCCATGCTGTTCTTTCAGCCTCTCCCCTCAACCACCACATTCTCCACTCTTACATGACAACCTACTACTCAACATTTAAGACTTAGATCAAATGTCCCCCTGCTCTGTGAGAAATTTCTAAATTTCCAAGCAAAATAAGTTGCTCTCCATTGGGCTCCCACAGCATTTTGTGCCTAAGTCTAATCATTAAATATTTACTAAATGCTTACACAGCCTGTACTGCAGGAATTTAGCCCCTTGCATATCTGTCCTTCCCATCAGACTGAGCTCATGTAGCATAGTGACTGTAACTGACTCGTCTTGGTATCACCAAGGCCTGGCATCATGCCTGCCACTCACCAGGCATTACTAAGAGCTGACTGAATACTTGCACCAGTGAAGCAGCAGATTGGAAACAGCCCTGTACAGGTAGGTAGGAAGACAAGGCACCTCAGTTTCCTCATCTGTGTGTGAAAGACTAGAGAACCTCTTAAATTCATAACAACTCAAATTTTATAACAAATGGGGCAGCCCGTCTGGCTGACTGCTACAATCAGTGAACCAAATGTAAATCATGAATCAGTAGAAACACTGATAAAGCTTTACGATGCATGTCCATGTTGGGCTAGTTGTCTTTCCTTCGAAATAAGAGCAAACTTCTGAAATTACATCTCCAAGTGCAAAAAAATAATTGCACACAACTGATTGCCCTCTCATCAGGCCTTGGTAATTGGAAAAGGCACATGCGTTTCAGTTGGACTCTAAGCTAGAACCCAGAACCCCAGGCAACTTTGGACCTTATTGCTTGCCACTCTGCACTCAGATTGAGAAGACATGGTTGTAGTGCGGAGAGAGCGTAGTGGAAGCAAGAGACAAAACAGTAGAAAAATGGAGCTGCTTCGTTTACAACTTATCCAAGAATGTATACAACTTCGACTCAGAAATTCTAATCAAGAGAAAGTAAATATTCAGCCACAACTGAACGGAGAAATGAGAAACTACTAGTCAATACAGTGTACCAGGTTGATGTAATTCCCTTAGATTCTCATTTTCTAGCACGCAAGAAACCGGCCTTACTCTCCTTTTTATCCCCAAAACCTAGCAGAGTAGGAGGCAACATTTAATAAATGTTTCTTGAACTGAAATGGTTTATCTTTACAAAGACCCAAAGGGGAGGTCCAATTTAACACAATTTAAATTGTGTCCAATTTAACACAGCTGAAACTCCCCCACCATATTTTCACAAGTTCCCTAAATTGGCGCCTTGATCTACGTCTCCTGAGAGCCACCGCAAGCTGAGCCGGGGACGTCGGCCGGGCCCTGCTTCCCCGGTTCTGGCGTCTTATCGCCCTGGGCGCCCGGCCGCGCTACCTTGAGCACACAGTCCGACTGCAGCAGACATGCGCCCAGGTCCTCCTTCACACCCGCGCACGCGCCGCCCTCCGGCTTGTCCTCGTAATACCGGGGCATGACTGCACCTGCCGCCCCACCGGCCGAGACAGGCTTCGGTCCACCAACGGCTGTCACCCGGCTGGGGCGCGGATGGAAGGAACCGGAAGTCGGCAGCAACAACTTCCGGCGGGTTCCCGGCATACTACGGAACCGAAAGGCCGCGCGCGCGGCGGAAGTGGACGCACGGGACGCGTCACGTCCCCAGTGCTGGCTACGTTGCGGGAAGGGAAGTTGGCCCGGCGGCTGCTGGGCTTGGTTGCTGGGCGGAGGTGGTGGGCTAGCTTGGGTCCCTTGGAGGCCTCAGCGGGGCTCCAGGTGAGACCTGAGGACCGCTCCGTCCGTGCGCGGCTCCGGCTCGCCCGGCGCCTTTTCCTCCCGCCCCTCACGGCCAGACAAAGCCCACGGCCCTGGAGTGATCATAGCCGGGTCCGGCTGCTCGGCGGGCGGTAGGGTTGCGGGTATATCAAGGACGCCCAGTTACACTTGAATTTCACGTAGACCACGGACAACGTTTTAGTGTATGTCCGACACAGTGTTTCGGACATGCTTATACTAAAAATTATACCTGTATCGGAGATTCGAATGTAACTGGGCGACCTGTGTCTTTATTTGCTAAATATGGCAACCTCACCCGCAGCCCCGGGTAGATGAGGAGCCTCTGGGCTCGGAGAGGCGCTGCTTGGCGTCAGGGAGGCCTGGGAGGTAGAGGGTGTGGAGCGGGGAAGTGGGCTGCGGGTTCGTGAGGGCTGGGTGGTAACCTGCTCTCACGGGGCTGCAGATTGATTCCACCGGACTCCCACGCCGCCATTCCCTCTGCTGAACTATTCAGGGAGTAAAACGCCATGGGCTCGAGTTTTGTTTTTATATCCCATTCCAGTGAAAGAGTTGCCTGATGGTCTTGCACTGATGGACCTGTGTGAATAGGCCTTTTATTTTACCTCGTTGGTAACATTGTTTCTAATGGACTTTTAAAACGGATTCTCTTAACGATTTGATGATTAAGAGCAGGGGATTTTGGCTCCATAGCCATCTCTGTGCTCATGAAGGAGTCACTTTACCTCCTAGTGATTTTCTTTCTCTCTCCTTCCTTCCCCTTTCCCGTCTCTCTCTGCTTCCCAACCCCTGACCCGTGCTGCCTCCCCCCTCCCTCCTGCTTAACAGTAACTACCTGGGTGGGCTGCCTGAGGAGAGAAGTGAAGTGTGGGAAACTTAGGGACCCTGTAGAAGCGCTATGAAGGTTCAGAAGGTTGTGGTGCTCCCCTTGCTTGAAGTGCAGTGGGCAGTTCTTGAGCCCCCAAATAAGCCTCAGAACCACCTTCATTAGTTTTTGACCCCTCTTACCAAGGATTGTGGCAGAAAGGTAAGATGACCTCCCTCCTAAATATCTCACAAGAGGGTTGTTGGTAGCCAATAGTTTCTCAAGATTACTTGTAAAAGAATTTTTTTTTCTTCCATCTAGGAAGATGTTACCAAGTATTTCAGTGAATTCCTCAATGCAGGGGAACGGAGTGTTGAACTCCAGGGATGCAGCAAGACACACAGCTGGAGCAAAACGCTACAAATACCTGAGAAGACTTTTTCGTTTTCGGCAGATGGACTTTGAGTTTGCTGCATGGCAGATGCTCTACCTATTTACTTCCCCACAGAGAGTTTACAGAAATTTTCATTATCGAAAGCAGACAAAGGATCAGTGGGCCAGAGATGACCCTGCTTTCTTGGTCCTGTTAAGTATTTGGCTCTGTGGTAAGTGTTAGTTTATCTACAGTAGAGTTGAAGAACAAACTGAGTGGTGGTTTTAGAAGATTTTATTTTTTTATTTGAGAGAGAGCGCGAGTGAGCACAAGTGTGCACAATAAGGGGAAGGGCAGAGGGAGAAGGAGAACCGGTTCCATGCTGAGCAGGGAGCCCCACGCAGGGCTTGATCCCAGGACCCCAAGCCGAAGATTAACCGACTGAGCCACCCAGGTGCCCCCAAACTGAGTGTTTTAGATTGTACTTGTCATTTGCAGAATCGCGGATCAGAATTTGGGATATTTGAAGCTGTTTCTTCCTTTCTGAAGCCTCAAAAATCTCACAGGAAAGAATGTTATATTCTTTCTGGTTCTAAAGGTCCCAAGCAGATGCCAGAGTAAATTGTTCCCCCAGATCTTTGAAAAGCAGAGGACAGAGTCACTCTGTGTGTTTTAAATGCTATGATAAGTAAGTTGATACTAAATGCAAACTTACTGTGAAAAGGAATATCGGGATGGGAGATTGCATTTCACAGGCAAATCTAGAGTGAGTTCTAAAAGTACTGATGTGAACTTGAGAAAGTACTTTTAAATTCTCCAATACTGTAGTGAGAGAGTCCCAACCACCTTTACAGTGTAAATGTGTAAGAATTTTTTCACCTTTCCCTGACTTAAGTATGTGAGTGCCTATTCAGAACTGCTGGTCTTTTAAATGTTGGGACTCCCCTGGGGAACCACAGACGGGCATCCATAGTAAACTACAGTTAGTTCAGTAGCCATTCTGTGTTTCAGGGTAGTCTGCTTTTTTCAATTCTATATACATATAACACATCTTTGGGGTTTTGTTTACATGACTGTCTCCTCCATTACACATGTGGGCATCTGGAGGGCGGGATTTGCCCCGCCCATATCCCCAGAACCTAGCAGAACCTAGATTTATCATGCAAATCTTTCTTTCAGTGTCCACTATAGGATTTGGCTTTGTCCTGGACATGGGATTTTTTGCGACGATAAAGCTGCTCCTTTGGGTTGTTTTCATAGATTGTGTAGGCGTTGGTCTTCTCATATCAACTTTAATGTGGTAAGTACTATAACTTTGGTTTTTCAAGTGCCACTGTAGAGCCTGCATTTGCTTCCATTAGAGATACAGTAGCTGATGAAAATTGAAACCAGTAACATGAACTGAAAGCATGAGTTAAATTTTTTTTATTATTGAAGTTTAGTTGACATACAATTTTATATTAGTTTCAGGTGTATCGCACAGTGATTTGACAGTTACATACATTATGAAATGTTCATCAAGATAAGTATAGTTACCACTTGTCACCATACAGTGTTGTTACATTATTGACAGTATTCCTTGTAATGAACTTTCTCTGTGTCTGATTTACTTTGTAACTAGAAGTTTGTACCTCTGAATCCCCTCTACCTAATACCGCCCATTCCTTCAACTCCATCTCGTCTACCAGTTTGTTCTTTATATTTATGAACCTGTTTCTGTTTTTTGTTCATTTTGTTTTTTAGATCTGCATGTAAGTGAAATGATACGGTATTTGTCTTTTCTGACATATTTCGTATATGATTATACCCTCTAGTTGTCACTGATGGCAAGATCTCATTCTTTTCTTGACCAAGTAATTTTCCATCGTGTGTGTGTGTGCGTGTATGTATAATACATATATATGCCATTTCTTCTTTATCTATTCAACTATTGCTGGGTACTAAGATTGCTTCCATATTTTGCTCAATGTTGCAGTAGACATAGGGGTGCATATAACTTTTTAAATTAGTGTTTTCATTTCCCTTGGATAAACACCCAGTACTGGTACTGCAGGATCATCAGGTATTTCTCATTTTAATTTTTTGATATACCTCCATACTATTTTTCACAGTGGTTGCTCCAGATTATATTCCCACCAGCAGTGCACAAGGGTTGTCTTTTCTGCACATCCTTGGCAACACTGGTTTTCCCTTGTCTTTTTGATACTAGCCATTCTGACCAGTATAAGGTGGTATCTCATTGTACTTTTGATTTCCGTTTCCCTGATGGTGAGTGATGCTGAGCATCTTCTTATGGGTCAGTTGGCCATTTGTATGTCTTCTTTGAAAAACTGTCTGCTCTGTTCCTCTGCCCATTTTTTAATTGGATATTTTTTTTTTGGTGTTGTATAAGTTTATATTTTGGATTCTAACCCCTTATTAAATGTATCACTTGCAAATCTCTTCTCGTTTCACTTGGTTGCCTTTTTATTTTGTTCGTGATTTCCTTTGCTATGCAAAGCTTTTTAATTTGGTGTAGTCCCAATAGTTCATTTTTGCTTTTGTTTACCTTGCCTGAGGAGACAGATCCATAGAAATGTTGCTGAGGCCAATGTCCAAAAGATTACTGCTTATGTTTTCTTTTAGGAGTTTTATGGCTTCATGTCTCATATGTAGTTCTTTAATCCATTTTGAATTTATTTTTGTGTATGGTGTAAGAAAGTGGTCCATTTTCATTCTTTTGGATGTAACTGTCCAGTTTTTCCAACACCATTTATTGAAGAGACTGTCTTCCCCATTGTATATGGTGTTCTCCTTTGTCATAGGTTGACCGTGTAAGTGTTAGTCTATTTCTTGGGTCTATATCCAGTTCATTGATCTGTCTGGTTTTGTTTTGTGTGGGTTTTTTGTTGTTGTTTTTTTAGAGAGCATGAGAGCAAGCAGGGGTGAGGGGGCAGAGGGAGAGAGAGAATCTTAAGCAGGCTCCAGTGCCCAGCATGAAGCCCAATAAGGGACCTGATCTCATGGACCCTGAGATCCTGAGGTAAAATCAAGAGTCGGACACTTGAACCGACTGAGCCACCCAGGCACTCCTGATCTGTTTTTGTGCCAGTACCATACTGTCTTGATCACTACAGCTTTGTAGTATATCTTGGCATCTGGATTGTGATGCATTTAGCTTTTTCTTTCTCAAGATTGCATTGGCTATTTGGGGTCTTTTGAGGTTCCATACAGATTTTAGAGTTCTTTGTTTTAGTTCTCTAAAAAATGTTATTGGTGTTTTGATAGGGATTGTATTGAATCTGTAGGTTGCTTTCAGTATTATAGACATTTTAATGATATTGGTTCTAAAAATCCATGATCATGGAGTATCTTTCTTTGGGTTGTGTCCTCTTTGATTTCTTTCATTACTGTCTTGGATTTTTTAGAGTAAAGGTTTTTTATCTCCTTGGTTAAATTTATTCCTAGGTTTTTGGGGTTTTTTGATGCAATTGTAAATGGAATAATTTTCTTAGTTTCACTTTCTGCTGCTTCATTATTAGTGTATTGAAACACAACAGATTTCTGTATATTAATTTTATGTCCTGTAACTTCATTGAATTCATTGAATGGTTTTAATATTTTTTGGTGAAGTCTTTCAGATTTTCTGTATAGAGTATCATGTCACCTGCAAATAGTGATAGTTGTATTTCTTCCTTACCAATTTAGATGCCTTTTATTTCTTTTGTTTGTCTGATTGCCATGGCTAGGACTTCCAGTGCTATGTTAAGTAACAGTGGTGAGAGTGTATGTTCTTGTTTTGTTTCTGATCCTAGAAGAAAAGCGTTCAGCCTTTCACCATTGAGTGTGTTGTTAGCTGTGGGTTTTTCATATATGGCCTGCATTGTTAGCTACATTCCCTCCCAACCTATTTTATTGAGAATTTTCATCGTGAACTAATGTTGAATTTTGTTAGATGCTTTTTCTGCATCTGTTGACATGATCCTGTGATTTTTATCCTACATTTTGTTAACGTATCGCATTGATTGATTTGCACATATTGAGCCATCCTTCCATCCCTGGAATAAATCCCATTTCATCAAGTGGAAAATCCTTTTAATGTATTACTGAATTTGGTTTACTAATACTTTGTTGAGTGTTTTTGGATCTTTATACATCAAGGATATTAGCCTGTACTTTTCCTTTTTTTGAAATGTGTGTCTGATTTTGGTACCAGGGTAATGCTGGCCTGATAGAAAATTGATTGATAGCAAAGGTAAAGCCAGCTCAGGTGTTCTGAGAAATTGGAAGAGAGTTTAGTGTCACAAAACAAATATCAGTGTTAAAGCTGCAAGTGTTCTACCTGTGATCTTCTACCCATTCTGTGGGTTCCATTCCTTGCCCCAAGTGTTACTTAAGTCTCTTCTCCCCCATGTATAAGGTCCTCACTTTATATAAACAGTTCTGATACCAAACATTAGTACATTTTGACCACTAGTCAGAGCCCTTAAAGATGTTCTTTTGGAGATACCCAGCTTTCTTGTCTTTTTTTTTATTATGCCCTTGTCAGAGGTCACCAGTCCATAATGGTAGAACTTTTGGAATTGTTCTACCAAGGCCTGCAAAGGTGAAATCTTCCTAGTATCCATCTTTTTGAGACTTTCTAGAAGACCTTGGATTAAGGAAGGCACTTGAGATTTTACTCCTCCATGTTGCCTCCTGTATCCTCAAAACTAGTATCTCATCAGAAAGACTGCCTGCTTCTGTGTTTGCACTGCCCTCTGAATCTAAAACTAACTTTTCTCAGATGGATTTAAAAATGTTTAGGTAATAATCTCCATTAAATCTCTGGAGGGAAGTAGTCTTTCTAAGATATCAGGGATTTTTCTCTCAGCCTCTGAACCTGGGGAAGGTATCTGGGATCCCTTCTCCGGGGTAAGGAGAACAGCCTCTAATAAGGCTGATAGGAAAACTTGAATGTGGAGCTGAAGATAATCACTTCAAAACCACCTGCAACTACAGTGAGAGGAAGAGCTGTCATTTAGGATTATGTATGGGGGAGTCATTTTAAACTTTCTAGGGAACAATGGATTTCACAGGGCATTGTTTTATATAACACTTAAATCCTTGTTAATTATCACAAAGAAAGCTCCATGGTGGCTCAGAGGCTAGGAATTGGCCTGTTTGGGGGTGAAGGGGGTAGAAGGCTGCAGCCTTGATTGATTGAAAATTTTTCTTCCTCTTCTGTATTTTCCAATAGTTTCCAATAGTATTCAGAAGAATAGATGTTAACTCTGTTTTAAATATTTGTTAGAATTCACCTGTGAAACCACCTGGTCCTGGACTTTTATTTGTTGGGAGTATTTTGATTACCAATTCAAATTCATTACTTATAATAATATGTGTATTCAGATTTTATATTTCTTCCTGATTCAGTTTTGGAAGATTGTATATTTCTAGGAATTTATCCATTTCTTCTTGGTTGTCTAATTTGTTGTCCTATAACTTTTTATAGTAATCTGTTGTAATCCTTTGTATTTCTGTGGTGTCGGTTGTTACTTCTCTTTCATTTCTGGTTTTACTTACTTGAGTTCTGTCTCTTTTTCTTCTCTGGCTGTGTGTTTTATCAATTTTGTTTATCTTTTCAAAGAACCAGCTTTTGGTTTTGTTGATTTTTCTATTGTTTTTTTCAGTTCCTATTTCATTTCTTTTTACTCTGATTTTTATTACTTTCTTACTTCTGTTACCTTTAGGTTTTGCTTGTCATCTTTTCTCATACTTAGGTGTAAAGTTAGATTACTTGAAATTTTTGTTGTTGTTTTTTTTTGAGGTATGCCTGTTAGAACTTCCCTCTTGGAACTGCTTTTGCTGTGTCCCAAACATTTTTGGAACATTGTGTTTCCATTTTCATTTGTCTCAAGGTATTTTTTTATTTCCTCTTTGGTTTTGTTGTTGTATTTTTTTGTTGTTTTGTTGTATTTTAGTAGCAGGTTGTTTAGCCTTCACATGTTTATGGTTTTTCCAGTTTTGTTTTGTTTTGTTTTGTAATTGATTTCTAGTTTCATACCATGTAGTTGGAAAAGATCCTTGATATGATTTCAGTCTTACTAAAGTTACTGAGATTTGTTTTATGGCCTCAAATGTGATCTGTTCTGGAGAGCATTTTATATGCACTTGAAAAGATTGTGTATTCTGCTCTTTTTGGATGGAATATTCTGTGTATATGCATCTGATAGGTTGTCTAAAGCTACTCCTTCCATATTGATTTTGTCTGGATGATCTGTCCATTGATGTAAGTGGGTTGTTAAGGTCCCCTATTTTGTATTACTATCAATTTAAGAT